CTTGGTTAACTGTTTGTCCAGTTGGTCCAAATTCATAATGAATAATCCCTCTGATATCAAAAAAGGTTAGCAACATCACTGCAACAAGTTTGCAAACTTAATTGTCATACCAGATCTCCAAGACAGAGAACAAAAAAAGAGTGGAAAATATTTCATTAATAGTTTTATCTTGATTACATATTGAAAAAATAATGTTATGGATAATATTGGGCAAATCTATTATACTTATTAATAAATTAATATATTTATTGGATTAATAAACATATTTAATTTTATGTTCAATCTATTAATATTAATACCATTTAATAATTTGTCATTAATAAGTTAAAGGTGATATTTAATACATTTAATTATATCTTATATAGCTTATGTATCTGTTAGCTTAAATATATTACATATTTAATTTTAATTTTAAAATATGTTGATATTAATATCAAAATATGTTAATATTAATATTTTATTTAATATAGTATTGATAGGTTAATATTAATATCACTATAATTAATATAAGCATTATGGCTAATAATTTAATAATTAAATATTATTGAAATTAAAAATATATTGTTTTAAATGAATATGCTATTAACATTATTTTCACCCGTTTGGTCTTTTTAAAATGTGGCCTCTAGAAAAATTTAAATTATTTGTATGGCTCCCTTTATATTTCGATTGGACAGTTGCTCTAACAGATGCATTTTATTCACTAATTCTAATAGATCCGCCCTCATCAAATTCAGTAGATGTTTTTTATATCTCAAGGCACCCAATGCAAACATTTCCTGGCAAGCACCTACTATGTGCCAGGCCCTGTGCGTGAGGGCACTGCTGATGTTGCCATAGTCAGATTCACCCCTTGCCCTCCAGGGGCTCCCAGTGGGCAGGGAAGACCTGGAAACTAGAAGAAGGTGCGGTGCCTGGGGACAGGTTTGCCCTCTGTCCCGTGGGACCATGAGAAGTGATACCAGTTATGTGGTGATGTCAGGGTGAACTTGGTAAAGGAGGCAGCTTGGCCCAGAGCCTCCGGAGGAAGGGGCTGCTGGCGGACTTGAGCCCCACACACACACACACATTGCCGTGGTGTTTGGAGGGCCCGGTGGCGTGACCTGGCTGGGTCTGGTTGCAGATCTGTATACAGCAAGGCTGGAAACCCCCGAGAGGCCGCTTCGATGTCCTGCCACTCCTGCTGCAGGCCAACGGCAACGACCCCGAGCTCTTCCAGATTCCGCCAGAGCTGGTGTTGGAAGTGCCCATCAGGCACCCCAAGTAAGAGGGGACGCCATGGGGTGGGTCGGGGGGAGTGGATTTGCCAGTGCCCTCTCTTCCCATCCCCATTTCCCCCGGCTCTCTTTTCAGCCTACGCATAGGCTGAAAGGGGGTCTTAGTTCCAGTCTGCTCCGTGGGGCCTGGGCAGAATGATCCCCCCAAGAATCAATAACTGCTTCTTGACTAGCCTGGGGACTGCCATCCTTTCTGAATTATAATCTCCCTCCTCATCCCGCTCCTAAGCATTTCACCAGGACCTGCTTTTTTTCCTAGCCCTAAGAGTTGAGTGAGCAGAAGCACCTACTGTCTTCTTGTGCACACAAATTTTAAAACGCTACCAATACCCCGATATGGGTTAAGTCCTAAAGGAATTTGGAGCCAGAAAGGAGCTGTGACGACTGGCGCCCACAACACAAGCGAAATTTCCACTGTGAGAGTGAACGAAATCCACAGTGAGGCACTGGCCTGGAGGGCAAAATGGAAGCGGGTACCAAAAAACTCAATAATCAAGATCAAATAATATCTTAATGCAATAGTTTTTAAAAAATGAAAAATAACTTTTAAAAAAATCTATGATGCACGATATATCAAAATCTTAAATAAAGGCAGGATCCAAGTCAGGGCTGAGATGAGAGTGAGGCAAACCAGGTGAGTCATGCAAGTACAGGGTGGGATCTTGTCTTTATTTCAAGTTTTAATATTACTCAGATAACCACTTAATTCCCTAAAATAGTGCAATAGAAATTTTATGGTGCTTAGAGGCATGAAGTCACCTGACCCAACCCAAACAGGTCATCAGGGAAGGCTTTCCAGACTACACAACATTTTAGCTGAGAATTCAACTGTAGGTAAAAGCTGGAAAGACACAGAAGGAAGAGAAAAGATCCCAAGAGGAAAGAACTGCCGTGCAAAGGCCCTGGGGTAGGAAGGACCCTCACTTTCTCCTGGACCAAGTTTCAGAGTGAGTTTAGGAGATAAACAAGAGCCCAAGGCAATGGTTCCCAGACCTGGATGTCCGTCCAGATCACCTGGGAAACACGTTAAGAATGCATCTTCTCAGGTCCCGACTCTGGAACCTGTGATTCTTCAGGTCTGAAGCAGAGCCCAGGAATCGGGTTCTAACATACTCAGTCCCAGTCCTCCGCTGGCATTTCAGCATCGCCAGACTAAAACTACCTCACCCATGTGTCTACCTATGAGACTTCTGCCCCCCTAGTGAGCTAGGCTGTGTTGCTCTTCGCAGGTTCGAGTGGTTCAAGGACCTGGGGCTAAAGTGGTATGGCCTCCCTGCTGTGGCCAACATGCTTTTGGAGATTGGAGGCCTGGAGTTCAGCGCCTGTCCCTTCAGTGGCTGGTACATGGGCACAGAGATTGGCGTCCGTGACTACTGTGACAACTCTCGATACAACATCCTAGAGGTGAGGTCCTTCCTTAGTCACCGTGACGGGAAAGGACAAGGCAGAGGAGGTGGGCTCAGTAGCCCCTCCCCACAGCCAAGCTTTGGGTCTCAGAAACTGGAAGGGGTTCAAACAGAACCTGCTGTCCTGGTGAAGCCCCCAGCAATTCTAGAGGCACCCTTGGCACTAATAGTTAATGTACTGTGGGCGAGGCACTGTTCAGAGCGCTTTGCATGTATTACATACTCATTTAATCCTCACCACAGCTTCCAGATATGAAAATCCCCCTTTCACCGATAAGGAAACCGGGGCCTTTTGGAGGGATGCAATGACAAGTTCAAGGTCACACCACAAACAAGCAAGGGGCNGTGACAAACGCATAAGTAAAAACGTGAGAATGGTAAATGCTATATTCAAAATAGCGATCACTTCTGGGAAGAAAGTAGGCTGTGATGGGGAAGTGGTCCCCAAGAGACTATACTATTCTTATTTATGATTTCTTAGGCTTGGGGCATAGGTGTTCATTATAGTATTCTCTATACCTTTTTAAAAGCCTGAGGTTTTCCATAACAATTCTTTTAACGTTCTAAAATTGAACTCGTTGCCATCATTTAACATTAGAAGCATTTTCTTTAAAAAAAACCACCAGATTTCCAGTTTCTTTTGAAAGAAGATCTGGCAGCACTGGGCCCCCATGCCTATCAGGCAACTACTGGCTGGAGCAGAGTGGTGGCTGGTCCCCTTTGAACCAGGCATGGACTCACCTGTTGGCCGCAGCCCCCACTCAGCCAGTGCAGTCACGGCCAGGCCTTTGTGGGCATTGGAGTTTGCAGTCTCTGCTTTATGCGTGAACTACTGCGTCCAGAATTCAACTTGGACTTCCTTGTGGCTTCTGGCCTCCTGGAAGAGCAGCTCGCACCTTCCACCAACCTCTTAATTTTGGAGAGAAGGTGACTTTCCGATGTCCCTTTTCCCCTCACTCAGGTTTGGCTCCAAAGCCCACATGGAGAGGCTAGACGAAGTGAACAAAGAGATTGAAACCACCAGCACCTACCAGCTCAAAGACACAGAGCTTATCTATGGGGCCAAGCACGCTTGGAGGAATGCCTCCCGCTGCGTCGGCAGGATCCAGTGGTCCAAGCTGCAGGTAGGTGGTGAGGCTCAGTGACTTTGACGGGCCCTTTGGTGGAGGGGGGTGAGGGGAGGAGGGGTGAGCTTTGAAAAGGCTCAACTTCTACAAGGGAACCTGGAGTCTATAGTAAAATCCCAGCTGGTGGTCATGGGGTCCCAAATTCTCAGATCATGACTAAATCTGGTTTATAGGTATGTCTCATTTAGCCAGAACAGTGGGGTTTTGTTTGTTTGTTTGTTTGTTTGTTTTGAATTTGCATGTCTCTTGGTAGGGCTTATACGCTCCAGTTTACTGCAGACCCCACCACTCCCTTCTGTCTTACACCTGCTCTCTATTTATTTATATTATCTTCCTGTTCCCTGAAAGCATCAGATTCTGTGTCCCCTGGTATGATTTTTTTTCCCTCTGGGGAATAGTTTAAAGTTGGAAGTAGATTAGTGATCAAGCTCATTTGTTTGATTTTTGCTTTTTTTTTTTCAATCCCTAATCGCTAATAACCTAACAGGAACTATAACCAGCCCACTAAAAATCTCTCCTTTACTCACCATCCCTTTTCCCACATCACTTACACTCCATGCCGACTTTAAGGGAGCTTTTTCCTGGTTTGATGGAGTAGTGAGCTGCTCACGACTCCGGTGGGGCAGCAGCCGGCGTGAGCTCTGGGCTCTCTTCCAGTGGGNGTTCTAAAGGTGTTTTGCAAGGTGAAAAACACCTGTAATCAAAATTACCCTTGAAAAGCCCTTAAATCCCCCCATAAAGGAGAGAACATATGGCGTGCGCCTCCTGAGCTGCCTTTCAATGAGGCCAGCACAGTGCTTCCTCCAGCGTGGAGCAGACCCCTGCGTCTTCAGTTGAGCATCTCATGTCTTACGTAGCTGGCCGGTGTGTAGAGGCTGTTATGCAGAAAATCCCTCTTGGTTTTCTTTTAGCCAGGCACATGTTGCCAAACTCATATACATTTCATATCTGGGGATCGCTGAGTCCCTTGTGGTCAGCCCTTATTCTGGGGCCAACGCCAGCGCTTACTCTCCCTGCCCCTCTCCTCCCCACCCCATCAGTGGACTCCAGCAGGTTCCCCTCACCCCTCCTTCAGGGAGAGATAGGGCACCATCCATTCTCCCCTCTAGGTACCCGGAACCCTTGCGTTTCTTTCCCCGTAAAGGGTCTCCCCTCCCCCGAGGTGGCACAGAAGTCCGTGGTCTGGCTACAGCCCGTGACAGCCAGCACAGGTAGAGTGTATGTGTGCGTGCGTGCATGTGTGTGTGCACATGTATGTGTGTGTGTGTGTGCGCGTGCATGGAGATGTATATGTACATGTGTGTATGTACATGTATGCGCCTGCATGCCTAATACCAGAACACCCAAGGCTACATCCGGGTCTCAAAGAGACCTGAGTTCTAACCCAGGCTGTGCCACTAACTCACTAAGCGACCTTGAGCAAGTCCCCTGGCCCGTCTGGGCCTCAGTCTTTCTCATCTGCCAAATGGGGAGAAACTCTTTCTGCCCTGACCACCTCTGGGNAGAAGAGCCCACATTCCCTCCCTGCAATGACCATAGTCCTCTCTTCCCAGCCTGACCCTTGGAACACCCATGTCTGGAAAGGCACCAACGGGACCCCCACAAAGAGGCGAGCCATCGGCTTCAAGAAGCTGGCAGAGTAAGTCTCCTGATGCAAGCGGAGGGATGTATGTGCCCCCCTCCCCCCAAACTCGGGGAGCCCCGGAAAAGGAGGCCGGGCAGATGGGCGTGCCTCTGACCTCTTCTGTGACTCGATGTGTCTGTTGTCCCCAAACTTCCTCGTGCCTCTCTTGCCTCTCAGAGTGTGAGATGCGAATGTCAGGACAACGCTTGTCCTACCCAATTTTACTTTCCTTGGCCCAGTTTCATAAATTCTTGTCCCGGAGGCAGTGGTGTGTTGGCAAACCACCTTTCCTAATAATAATAATAACGTTAAGAGTAGTAATAATCATTGTAGCATTTGCCAATTTCCATGGTGTAGATACTCCCACTGTGGCCAATTATAAGCTGCCAACAGGAAGTCACTGAACCCGTAGTCGAGAGGAGCCGGGATGAACTGGCTCCAACACACCGCTTCCCAGAGAGTGCTCTCGTCCAGGGCTGACCTCTAATTTCACTCCTTCATTCATTTACTCATTCATTCATTCATTCCTTTGGCCAACAAATGAATACTGAGCGCCTACTCTGTGCCAGGCTCCAGGAATGCCACCATGAGTCAACTAAATATAGCCCCTGCCCTCAGGAAGCCCACAGCCATTCATCTGTCAAAGACTCACACATTATAGTGAACGCTGCCAGTGCCATCGAGGATCGATTCATGGTGCCCCGAAACAGATGTAACTGAGTTTGGGAGGGCAGGCAGAGAGGGCTTCCTGCAGGAGATGACAGCTGAGCTAAAGAATAAGATGAATGAGGCAAGTGAGAAAATAAGGGAGGGATGGGCCAAGGCTACTGAAGAGTACCTGTCCTGAAGAACCCGCGACCAGCCCAGGGACCAGCCGTCAAGTGGGGCGGAGCCAACTGAGATGATTGACTGTGGAAGCCAGCCTTCTCCTAAAGACAGAGCGCTCTGCTCCACAGATCCACTCTGAGACATCCCTGTTTGGAGCTAACTTTTCTTGCAGTGGAGCTAAGTATGCACTGGGCTTCCTCTTCTCTTTCTTCGGTGCCCTCGGGTCCAGAACTCTCTATGTATGGCACCCGGTTGTGTAAAAGGTGCCATCCAGGCCCCAGAAGCCCCAGAAGCAAGACACGGGTAGGTCTTCTTCCAAGAACTCAAACCTAGGTCCTGCCTCCATTAATATGGCCCTGAGAGCATCTCTCTTCTTCCCTCTCCTTCCACCTGCCCCCGTTTTCCAGCCCAGCAAGGACACATCAGCAGCCCTTCTTTCACTAAGGAGAGAATTGCCAATATTCTCTGGGAGGGCAGCCTCTGGCTTTGTTCAGTTCAACTGTCACTGAGGGAAGCAGGAAGGTGGAAATCTAAAACATTCATTGCGCTATTAAGTTTGGGATAGAAACAATGGAAGTTAATTATAGCTGCTTTGTTATGCTCCAGTCATTCAAAGGGGAACCCTCCAGGCACCTTTTATTCTTCTGCTTCTCCCCCTTAACCAGAGTGCTCCTGTAGCGTGGGTGTTTCCCTGATTCTAAAAAAAAAAAAAAAATGATGAATTTACCACCAATAATCCCCAGGTGGGAGTAATTAGCCATTTGTCTCCAGGCAGAGATTCCTAGTTCGAACAGGATGCTTGTTCAGCAGGTGAGCTCAGGCGTTCCTGAGCCTCTGACCTGTCTGCCACCCCCACGGCCCTCATGGATGGGAAGGAGGGAACACTGGTTCCGAGTGCTCAGTTTAGCTAGAAAGAGCCTAGACTTGACATTTAAACTCCCCGAGGCAGCATCTTTCAAATTCATTCTTTCTTTTGAATGTATTTAGTCCCTGTTAGGTACCCGGCTCTATGCAAGACCCTGGATATGCGTGGCTGACTAAACCAGACCTGGTATTTTCATATGTGGATCAATAACCCTCCAAAATCCCTTTGAATTCAATACCTGGTGGCTTATTAGTGATTTGTTTCTGTCTCTCTCTCTCTCTCAATCCCTCTCTCCCTCTTCTTCACCCCCCCCCACCCACTCCCCCCATGACAGCTGCTTGTCCATAGCAACCTTCTCTATTTTTTTTCAGTTCCTATAACAATGTCTGGCCCGTAGTTAGGCACTCAACACACAGTTGATGAATGAACGAATGAGTAAATGAAGGAATTGTCATCTTTTGGGGACAATGCTTGGTCAAAGCAAGGTTCTCAAGACTGGGATCGATCGAGTAGCAACCTAATAAAACTAACCAACCACTTTAGCTCATGACTAT